AAAGAGAGGCAGAGGAAGGAGGCAGCCAGGTCCCTACACACCCACCCTCAACATACAAACACACACCACCACACTTCACCCCCTCACACCACACAGAGTTGTCCACAGCACACACCATCACATCCCATCCCATATGCAACAGTCCACTGGGATTGCACTGGGACTCCACTGACCATCTGGTCTTTGCTTTGCTGAGATCCAGTCTATTTTCTGGTGCCATTCTGAGCCCTACAGGAGACAAGTAAGAAAAGCCCAGGTTCTGTGTACTCACCCATAGAAAAGGAGTTCTCGATGTTTCCACATGGTGCCTTGTGCAGAGTGGGTTCTCTGTGGATGGAGTGGCTGCACAGACATTCCCACTGCTCAGCCCATCGGGCCCCAGACAAGGTGTGCACTGACCTCCCAAGCAATTTAACAGAAGGAACACCTAACAAACGATGAGCTTCTGCCTGTTCACACAAGGGAATGTTCTAGAGTGACTGTGAACCTACAGCTACATGCTACCACACATGCAAATGCTTAGTGTTGAATGGAAACAGTAAATTCCAGATCATTACATACATGCATCGCACTATTTTTATTGAGTTTAAGAACAGTTGAAAGTAAACGCAGCAAGCTGGGTGGGGATGGTGGTGTACTCCTGTAATCCCAGGACTCAAGAGACTGAGGCAGGAGGATCCCAATATGTAGGCCAGGCCAGCCTGAGCTACATATTGGGACTCTGTTTTAAAGAACAAAACAAAGCAACAACAATAAGTGTGAACACTGGGCCGGCAGTGTGGCTTGGTAAGTGCAAGGCACTGGGTTCAATTGCCAGCACACAAGCAAGCAAACAAAACAAAAAACGAGACCTGGGGCATGCTCAAGTGGGAGGGTGTCTGCCTAGCAAGCACAAAGCCCTGAGTTCAAATACCAGTACTGCCAAAATAATAATAATAATAAGAAGAAGAAGAATGCTAAGCACAAAACTCAGGACAGCGAGTTATTATCTGGAGGAGGTAATGGATAGACGAAGGGAAGATCATAGGGACAGATGGTGTCCTTGTTAGTGTGCTGCTTCTTGAGTTGGGTGGTGAGCTCACTAACCAATATAAAAAAATGCAATAATGACAGCCATGCCTACACCAGTAGAAAACAGATCAGGGACCAAGGGTCACAATTAACCCAATTCTGTACATTGGGTGTCCTGTTACAATGAACAAAAATAAAGTCCTCCCAGCTTGACCCTAGTTCTGCTTATTTTTGCACTTCCTCCCACAGTGATGCTGAGGGGTCACTGCAACCTTCTTCTTGGCAATCGGGGTTAGTAGCGCAAGGCTGGGCCGGAAATGAACGGGGGATGAGGACATATCTGTTCTAACACTGTTCTCGATAGGTCCTTGTGGTGAGGGTTTCCAAGAACCAGCACAGCAGTTAAAGAAGCTGAGCAATATTTACCAGAAATGTGCCCTGCCCCACCCCAACCCCCACCCCTTGTCCCTTTTCTCCTCCCTTTCCTGCCTCCAACTTTCCCTCCCCTACCAGGACGAAGAGTGGGACAGTGCACAGGAGACACAGAACAAAACTGCTTACCCAACTCTCTGGAGAGGGACTGACATGGCCTCCAGATCCTAAAAACTGAAAGTACAGATGGGCGCCAGTGGCTCATGCCTGTAATCCCAGCTACTTTGGGAGGATCCGGAGGATCAAAGTTTGAGACAGCCTGGGAAAATAGTTTTAGAGACTCCATCTCCAATATAACCAGAGCAAAATAGACTAGAGGTGTGGCTCAAGCAGTAGAGTGCTTGTTTTGCAAGTGAGAAGCCCTGAGTTCAAACCACAGTCCAATCAAAAAAACAAACAACAACAACAAGAAAACTGACTTAGAGATGACTAAGTCACAGAAAGGTTTAAGTGTCAGTAGAGCAGCACCGTAAGGTCCTGGGGCTGATCCCCAACACTGGGGATAAAAATGTGTAACAAGCAGCAATGAGCCTGGATTCCCTGGGTCCAAATTCTGACCTGGCCACTTCTCAGAATGTGACCTTTGATGTAATACTTAACTGCTCTGTGCCTCAGTTTTCTCCAGCTGTAAAATGGGATGAATAATAGCCTCTCCCTCATGAAGACTTGTTACGAGGCTAGCTAAGTTAATTCATGCAAAGCATGCAGAACAGTTCTGCACACATAGGAGGTACTAAGTATTAGCTGTTATCATTAAGGAACTACTGCGTATCTGGCACTAGGCTAAGCATTGGGGAAGTGTGTACAAATGGATGAATTGATGCGGCCAGGATCTAGTGCAGGGGTTAACAAACTTTTTCTGGCAAATCCCAGACAGTAAGCGTTTTCTGCTCCACCAGCCATATGGTCTGACTCAACTGCTCAACTCGGCCATTGGAGCACGAAAGCAGCCATGCATGATACTTAAATGGGTGAGCCTTATTCAGGAACACTGCCGTAGCGTTTCATATCATTTTCACATCACAAAATATTATTCTTCATTTGATCTTACACTTTGTTTTTGGTAGTTTGAACTCAGGACTTGGGCTTGAACCACACCTTCGCCCTTTTTGGTTATTTTGAATATAGGATCTCTCTTTTTGCCCAGGCCGGCCTGGACTGTGATTCTCTGTTTATGCTTCCCATCCTAGCTGGAAGGGCACGTGATCTCATACTTTAAAATGTAAAACCCAGTCTAAGCATAGAGACTACACAAAAACTGGTGGTGTGTCAGATTTGGTTAGCAGATTAAAGTCTGCTGGTGCCAGGTCTAATGGGGAGAAGAGCCCTCTGGGTTTCTCTGCTCTCTGTATCTTTATAGGAGAGCAAACTGCGACTCATCCTTCAAAATCCAGTTGAAATGCTACTTCCTCTTTGAAGCCTTCCCAGATCTCCTCAGCCAAGGGCAACAGTAACTCCATCCACTGCCTTATACACCATAAGCACAAGTATGCTCATTGTTTTTAGAAACTTAGGATGACATATTTAAGACAAACCAAAAGTTAGGTTATAAGGAGTAATGCAAACACTTTAGTCTTCAGCACCTAGCTTATGAAACAAAGCATTGCCAACCTAGCTGAAAGGCCCTGAACCAAGACTTGTCCCCAAATCCCGGCCTCCTGTCCCACTCTGCAGAGATAAGAACCAGCATTCTGACTCCTTACCTATTATTGCTCTGTACTTCACACTGTGATGCAGATATTCGTACACTGAGCAGGCGAGAGCATCTGTTTGCACATGCACATCTATTATTTAATCTGTCTTTCCAATAACCCAATCAAAGGGCTGGCAGTATAGTTCACACGGTAGAGTGCCTACTTAGCAAGCGTGAAGCCCTGAGTTCAATCTCCAGTACTGCCAAGAAAAACAAAAACGCAGCTCTTGTTAGAGTTTAGCCTCAGAGTGGGTAATAACTTGTCCAGGGCATCTATATTGGTGACAATGGTAGAATGTATGTCCAAGGCTGATTGCAATTTTCTCCTTACCTGCCAGTGACAAGAGACTGCACGTGACCTTCTGCCCTTCCCCTTCAACTCCTAGTATCTTCTACCCAGTGGGCACACAATCGTACTTCAGGCTTTTGTTCATCATCCCCCACCAGTCTCCCTGGATAGGGAACTGCTGAAAACTCACTGCAAGGAAGAGAAGGGTGGGGCTCTGGCAGATTTCATTACAAGTGTAGAGCAACTTGTACTTGTTCAAGTGTAACTTTACTGGAAAGGATGAGGCATACAAGACTCCCAGATGTTGGTAGTGCGCGTGCAAATGTCTTAAGAGTTGCGGGAATGGGGGGAGAGGTAGGAAGAGGTGGTAGAGAAAAGAGGAACCTCAGAAAATCAGCCCCCCAGAACCAAGAAATCTTTCCTTCCTCTCTGTAGCCACCTGGGGGCTGGGCTGGGGTTCGGGACCTAGTCCAAGTGTAAGAATAGATGAGACATGAAATGGTTTGAACCCTCAATCTGACAAGAGTACACAGGTCCAGGCCCAAAGGGGCCTTGGATACTCAGAGCACCGAGCAAGATGGCTCACAGGAAGGAATGTTAGAACTGCTGGTATCAGTCAATAAGCAAGAAAGCTTGTTAGAAGTGAGCTCAAGCAGTACAGTGCCTGCCTAAGCAAGCATGAAGCCCCGAATTCAAACCTCAGTACTGCCAAAAAAGAAAGCAACATTTACTAATACTTGTATGAACTGACACTGGCACAGCTCCAATGTGCTTTTTCAGCTCACATATGTGAATTCAGGAGTTCTACCAACCAGTGAGAGATAAACAAACTCACAAAATAAAGAGGCCTATTAAAGATTCCTGCAAAGAAACCAGACTGAGGATACTAATTATCCAAGAACAAGCGGTAAGAACATGGCAGAGCTAATATTTCATCTTCTTCCAGGATAAACCCTTCATCAAGCTCATTGGAGAAAACCCTGTTAATGCATCTTTGTCAATGACTAAACCTCATGCTTTTTACAAACTGGGAGCAATGTAGGCACATAAAACTTTTCAGTGAAATTTACATGTATCAAGGGTATATGCTGAAATGTTGACACAGGTTCTGTGTTGTCCAGGCTGCTCCAAACTTCTGGGCTCATGGAATCCTCCTGCCTCAGCCTCCCAAGTAGCTGGGACTAAAGGTATGCACTACCAACCCTGGCTTCAAAATATTTTACTAGTGGGAGAGGGGTTTGAAAAAAGCTTCAGTTGATTATAAAGTCAGCTCTGTCCAATAGAACTTCCTGCAATGACAGAAATGTCCTAGGTAAGGTAGCCACTGGCCCCAAGTAGTTATGAAAATAGCCATACGTATTTGCATAGCACTAAAATTTCAATCAGAAAAAGTGATCTCATTAGGTCCCTTATACCCAGTCTAGTAAAACACAAAAAAAATCCATGAATGGAAACCAGATTCAGTGTGCAAAGTCAACATCCCCTTCCTCTTAGTAGCACAGGACTTTGATGCTTACCAAGTACTCAACAAATGCATGAGGAACTTTGGCACAGACAGCAATTACAAACCACAAATTAAGACAAAAGGTTTTTATTCAAAAAACGCCAAGTATAAAAAAAAAAAATAAGATCTCTTTTATTCCCCTGTACAGTATTTCACTCGAGATAAAACCAGCAGGCTACACGCTGCTCAAAGCACAGCCCCAGAGAGGATCCGGAAGGCACACCACCCAGAACTGCTTTTTCATATATCTATCCTATATACAAGTCAGCAGTGCCCCTCCCCCATCACCCGTGGAGCCCACAACCACTTGGGTAACCAAGAGAGGGGCCCCAAGGACGTCAGCGAGCTGTAGCAGCCATCCCACCTGAGTCCCGTCACCCCACAACCAGAGCAAGCATTAAAGCCCTCCCCAAAAGGTCCCCAAGTCAGAGGAAAGGAAAAAACAAACAAACAAACAAAAAAAAAAACATGAAAAAAACCTAGGGTAGCAGCTGTGGAAGCTTGGAGCAAGAAGGGAACAAAATAAATAAATAAATAAATACATTAACATTGACCTCCGGTTAGAATGCGCATCTTTAAAGGAAAAAACAAAATAGGTAAAATAACTTAAAGGCAAATTTAAAAAAAATTAGATCAACTACAATCCTTTTGTATGCTACCATGCCAACTGTACACACATTTACAGCTTCTCTGTTGATTTGCATTGTTTGTGCATTTTGTGTGTGTGAGGTCTTGGCTTTGAAACAGTTAAAAACCAAAAAAGGAAGACCAGTTCACTCAGAATTTTACTAAAGGAGGCAGAAAAAAGGGCAAGGTGGCTCAGCAATTGGCCCTGTAGCCTCTTCCATGGCACCTTTCATATGGGGGGGAGGGGAGGAGAGCGGAGGGGGGGAGGGGGGGACAGGGAAGAAAAACAGGGAACCAAACCCAGGCAGATTTTTGGAGAAGCAGCAGGTAAGAGGCAAGTTCAAGTATTTCTCCCAGCATAGCCGGAGTCCCCACAGAAGGCACTCAGAAGAGTCAGAAGAGGTGACAGGGACTTAAAATGGTACTAGTCCTATCCCATCCCAACCTGTTTCCCCCACCTGACCCATCGCGGCATTCAGCAGAACTCATGATGAAGGGAACAGTTTCTGACCCTCCCCCACCCCCCACCCCCAGGGTTTTGCAGAGCCCAGCAGTGCTGGACACCCATGAGAAAGAGAGCAGCTACAGGAGGAGTTGAGGTCTAGGACACCTGGAGTGGAGTCTCTTCTCCCCACTGGGAGGCAGCCTCCAGGGGCCTGGGGTCTGGAATGAGTTGTCAATGTTGTTCCTGTATCAAGCACTGTCCTGCTTGGCGAGAAGTGTCACTGGTAACTGGGAAGCTGGAGACAGAAGCTTCCCCTCCTTGGGGGATCTGACAGGGAGGGGAGGACCTGCCAGAAAGGCTGCTATTTGCTGGGCCCCGTCGACAAGCTGTGGAGATGAATCTCAGCTGTCTCCTGGGGCAGGAGGACATCTTGCATCCATGGATGGTTCTGGATTTCTTCAAAGGATGGCCGATCTGATGGTCTCAGGGACAGACACCACCTAATGAGATGCTGGCACTCTGCAGAAAGCATGACAGACAGAGGTCATGAATGACTCAACTTGCTTTTGCAATTCCAAAGGTCTTCCCAATCTGCTTCCTAGGGGCCACAAGTCTGGGTTCTTAAGGAGGCACCCACTTACACAACGCTGTGCCAGTGGGGTGCTCTTTAGTGGGAAGGATGAGCTAATACCTGGATCTGCCAGTCTGCTTTCAGCTAAAAAGCGGCTCCCCTCTTAAACCTGTGGTTTTCAAACTTCAAGAGCTTGGGCCTTTCCCGTGACACCCACTCACCAGAAGTAGGAAGGATGATGACAAGGGATTCTGAGGAGACATCACTGAGCATTACGAGGTGATTCAATTTACCTACCAACTTACAAACATGAACACCACCCAGAATGAGGTCACAGGGACCACAATATTTAGACAGCTACTGCCTTAAGGGAAATGGCTTTTTTTGACTCCCTGAAGAACAGTCAGGAAGGCCTCTACTGAATTAGGTTTTTCAGTTCTAGGGATTGCCCCCAGACTGGTACCGGAAAAAGCTTCTCAGGATCTGGGGATGTGGCTCAGTCGTGGAGTGCTTGCCTAGCACGCACGAACGCCCTGGCTTACTTCCCCAGCACATCAAAACAAAAACTAAAATCAAAGCCAGAGCCAGGTATGGTGGTGCATGCTGGTTCATTCCAGTACTTCAGAGGGGGAAGCAGGAGAATCGAAGTTCGAAACCTGCCTAGGCTACATAGTGACAGACCTTGTCTCAAAACACCAAAACTTTCCAGAGAAACCAGACTGTGTTTTCCTAGTATGCTCCTCCACCTCCCCGGGAAAAGCTCAACGCTGCGGGATGTGAGGGTCCAGCCCGAAGCTACAAATCTGCGAAGCCAAGTTTCACACCACTCTGACTCCTGTTTCTCTGTAAGGAGGGGCTTCCAGGAAGTTACCTGAAGAGACCCTCTGTCTGAAGAAAACTTGGCCCCTGACGATCTCCTCATCATGCTCAAAGGGAATATCTCCGCACACCATGTCATACAGCAGGATCCCCAGGGACCAGACAGCTGCCGACCTGCCGTGGTAGCGATGGTAGCGGATCCACTCTGGAGGACTATACACGCGGGTCCCTGTGAGCCAGGGGAATAGGAGAGAAAACACGCTTTGAGCAAAAATAAACACAGAGCAACTACGTGGAAGAACTCAAAAAAAAAAAAAAGCACCACGTCCCTTCTCTCCAAAGTTGGGTGAACTTCACTTTTGCCCCCTAGGCTAAGAAGAGAGTGGTTTATGGCATTTCTCCAATCCAAAGCATTACCACCTCTACCAGTCCCAACCATAAACGGAAATTCTTTACAAACCGCTCCAAGAGACAAACAAGGCTGGCTGCAGACCCAAAGTCTGATGCCATGTGTGGTAGGACCACCTTGAGAGAGAGGAATGTCTGAACCATCAAGGCCACTCAGCACCCAACAGGAGCCAGACCAGATTCTCATCTACATCTGCTATCCAATCACATCCCACCCATCCTTGTACAACATCCCAGTCTGGGTGCCCTTTGGGAGTCCTTCTTCCCCACCCTCTGAGAGCAAAGCAGGGCCAGACACCCACACTCTTTCCTCCCCAGACAGAAAGGTCGACAAGGCTGCTGGGCTGGTTTCAGACCACGTGATTCCTGTTTACAAACTTTGGGTAGTAAAAAAAAAAAAAAAGGGGGGCCATCCCGATGGTGCTCACCAGGGGGCAGCAAAGACTAGCAGGAAAAAAACATGGGAGGGCCCGGCCAGCCATTAACTGTTAAATACAAAAAATGCAGCCCAACCCGGCGTCCTCCAAGGGCAAATAAACACAAACCAGAAGCCCGAGTCCTAAGTTTTGAAAGGCTGTCGTTTGTTAGGGTAAGCCACTCAGATGATGACCCACCCTCTCTTTTGCTTTGATCTCCGGCTCCCCATTCCTTTTCTGAAAGAACCGGCTCCAAGCCCCTCCCTAAGATAGGTTTTCACCCTCCCTGCAGAGACACCCAACTAATTTTCAAACCAGCAACAGATCTTATTTCACAACATTCATTCCTGGCTCCCTCACCCTACAACCCCCCCCCCAAATAATAATAGTGAAATTACTGTTCCTATTCCTTTACCCGCCCTAGATCAAAGGAGAGGGGGAAAAAATCTGCAGCTCTAAGAACTACCTTACTGAAAACTCTTTCCTAAAACAAAACAAAAATTACAAAACCGGTATCAATTTTCATCTCTCTTCCTCCACCACTCCTCTCCTTTTACTGGCGGGGAAACTGGGTCAGACTTTGGAAATCTGGGCTACGGCCCATTGCCCACAACCTCTTATTCATCTGGAAAACTTGGAATCCGCCGAAAAAAAAAAAATTACAATATTAAAACCATGCCTGAAGCATTACAGGTTCAACTGGCTTGAACCCCTCGGCTTACTACGCCGGGAAAACTGTCCCTCGCCCCACCCCTGCCAGCATCGAGCTAGGCGGCCCAGTGACCTTTACAAAGGGCCGGCCGAGGCCTCCACCGGGCCGCGGCACCTGGGCAGCTCCCTCCCGGGTCTGGCTCACCGTCGAAGTCCGTGTAGACCGTGTCCTTGAGCAGCGCCCCCGACCCGAAGTCGATGAGCTTGAGCTCGCCGCGGCTGAGGTCGATGAGGATGTTTTCGTCCTTGATGTCGCGATGGAGCACCCCGCAGTCGTGGCAGTGCCGCACGGCCTCCAGCACCTGCCAGAAGAAGCTGCGGGCCAGCTCCTCTTGGAGGGCCCCCCTTTCGGTGATGAAGTCAAAGAGGTCTTGCACGGGCTCGGGTCTCTCGAGGATCAGGACGAAACTGTCGGGCCTCTCGAACCAGTCCAGGAGCCGAATGACGCCGGAGAAACCCGAGCTCACCTTCTTCAGCAGGACCACTTCCATGGGGACTCGGGTGCCATTGGGCTGCAGAGGGGCAAAAGGGGAGGGGGGGGGAATCGGTCAGGGCGAAGAGTCGGGGCGCGTCCCCTCACCCCCATCCCACACGCACCCATCCTGGGGGAGGAGGGTCGCCCCTCTCCAGGGCACTCACCAATTCTCCCCAGTCGGAAATCCGGTCCTTCTCCACGTGTTTGATGGCCACCTGGAAAACCCCAGCCTCCATGAGATCCCCTTCGCACGGGCCAAAGCACAGCCGTGCGCCCCCCGCCCAACCCGCTGCGCCCTGCCCACGGCGGGGCGCCCACTCACCGGCAAGTTGTCGGCGACACGGATGCCGGAGTAGACGGAGCCGAAGCCGCCACTGCCCAGGAGCGGGCCCACCTGGTACTGCGACTCCAGGGGCTCCTTCTCTTTGCCTGGAAGGGGGCAGACACCGGGCACTCAGCGCCGGCCCGCGGCCCCCTCCGCCTCCCCAGCTCGCGCCCCACGCCGGAGGTCCCGCCGCCGCCCCGATGCCCGATCCCCAGGCCGGGGGGTGGGGACACTCACCCGGCGCCAGCTTGGTCGCGTGCAGGTCGTTGCAGGGCGCGGCGCGCAGGTGGGCAAGCGAGTTGATTTTGGACAAGAGCATCCCAACCTCCAGGGTGGCGGCGCGGGGACCGTGCCCGGAGGAGCCGCGGCGGGAGCTGGGGCTGGGGTTGTGCCGGCGAACGGGGCCGGGGCAGGAGCTGCGGCTGGCGTTGCGGCTGCGGCTGCGGCTGGCGCGGAAGGCCGAGGGCGAGTCGGAGGACAACTGGGGGCGCTGGCGGCGGCCGGACGCGCCGGCACGATCAGGCAGCGCGGAAGGCGGCAGGCTGAGCGGCTCGTGGAGCTCCCGGGGCTGCGCTGCGGGACCCAGGACTGGTGGTTGAGGCTGCTGGGGCTGGAGCTGCTGCTGCTGATCCCGCCACCGCCGCCGCCGCCGCCGACTACCCTCCGGCCTCCTCCGCCACCGCGGCCGCTGCAGCAGACACCCGGCTCGCCCCGCCGCCAGGAGTAAAGGGGCGGAGCGCGCCGGTGGGGAGGGCGCGCAGGCGGGCGGGGACGGGGCGGGGCCTCTCCGGGAGGCCAAGGCTGGGAGCCCGGCTGCCGGGCCGGCGGAGGGAGGAGAGGGGGTGGGGAAGCGGCGGGACGGGGCGTCTCCCCTCCGCCCCCGACCCCGCGCGCTCTGTGGCGGCGCCCGAGCCCCGCCCCCGCCGGCGAGTCTCCAGCCAACCAGAGGCCTACTGATCTTCATAACGCGGCGAGCCCCGCCCACGCCCCGCCCAGCTCTCGCGGTCAGATTGGTCTCTACGCCGCCACGACGTGGCGGGAAGGAAAAGGCGCCAAAATGGAGGGGGAGGGGCGCGGGGCGTGAGGGGAGGCGGGAGCTGGGTGTCGGGCCGCGAGGGAGGAAGGATGGGGAGGGGCGTATCGATTCAAACCCAAACAATAACAAAGCCATCAAAGGCCGCGCGAGGCCAGCTCTGCGGCTCTTGTTGTCTCGCAGGGTTTTGGGTCAAGGGCTCGAGGCCCCGAGCGTAGCAAGTTGCGCGGAGACGGCTGCGGGCGTTGGTGTGTCCGGCGCGGACGCCGCTGCGCCGGGTGCCGACCGCGTGTGGGGATGGCGACCGGGGTGGTCTCTCCGTGCGGTGTGACTCGGCCCCGAGACCTCCGAGGCGGCTCGGGCGGGCTGACGCCGTGGGCTGGGGGTTGGAGGCGCGTGGGGCGCGGGCTCTGCGAACGTGAGTCACGGCGGATCCGCGCGGGGCGTGGACGAGTCACAGGCCCGGAATAAACCGGGGCGGCGGGGGCAGCTCGACTTTTTGGGCTCCGCCGGCCCCCGGATTCTCATTTTGGAAATGCAGAAAGCTGGTCCTGAGAAGAGATGCGGTGTCCCGGTGGCGGGCGGGGAGGAAATCACGAAACAAATGTCAGCCCTGTGGTGCGGCTGCCGCCCCAGCCTGTGCGAGGCGGGGGACGCTGGGGTCACCTTGGCTGCGGCCACCCCAGCCTGGTCCCCAAGGAGCCTAGCATCCTGCACCCGCCCCCCCCCACACCCTCACTTCATCCTTTGTCCTTTTAAACTTCACGTGGAGTTGATCACGACGTGTGTCATGAGTAAATCCACATGAATCGAATTGTCACTGCCCCAAGTCGCTGGAAGCTAACGACAGCCCATTTTAATTTTTTCAACTTCCTGCCATTGAGGGGGGAAATGGGGCTCAGAGCTGCAGTCCTGAGTGAATTGAAATGTTTCCTGGCCCGGTTGTCACAGGGCCTGATTTTATAAGGGTGCTCAGATACTCCGCGACTTTTATGGATTTTTCTCATAAAACAGTACATGTGTCCCTTTTGTTGTGTTCTGTGGCCTAACTCATTCATTTTTGATGAGAGGAGAAAACCCAGGGGAAGTTTGTTTTTTTGTTTTGTGGAGCTAGGAAAATGAAACTTAAGTAGAGTGACACAGGGTCACACGACAGCCAACACAACTGGCTAAGGGAGGAAATGAAATGACCCAAATTCAACTCCTGATGAGTCAAAGCTGTCCCTTTATGGGGTCCTATTTTATGGGGTTCTATAACTTGGCACTGGACAGGACCTCAGTCCAGTCACATGTGTGACTCCAGTCCCTCCACCTCCCCTTTCCCCTTTCTCAAGCCCTCGGGTCGACCCAAATAGGCCAAACAGGGCTGTTCCCACTTGTCCCCACTCACCTAGCACTTCCCAGACCTCCTGCACTGGAAGAATCAGCCAACCTGTCCTGGAAGTGGGTGTCTCCTTTTCTCTGCCTTTTTTTTTCAGTTTTTTTGAGATGATCTCTCATCCTCCCTGCCTCAGCCTCTTAAGCACTGGGACTGCAGCAGTGGACCAATATTCATTGATAGAAGAGAGGAATGTGACCTAACATAAAGGCCATGATTAAAGTAAACTTAGGACTGGGGTGTAGCTCAGTGGTAGAGCATTTGTCTAGCATTCCAGGGGCCCTAGGAAAATCTGGCCAAAAAAATAAAATTAGGGCTGGGGGATGTGGCTCAAGTGATAAAAAGCTTGCCTAGCATATACTGAGGCCCTGGGTTCCAATGCCCATACCACAAAAATAAATAAATGAAAAGGTTTTCTTAAAAAGTCAACTTTCACCAAAGTTTAAGTGGGCTTAGGCAAAATTAAGCAAAGGGTAGGAGAAATCGTTTTAAGTCCAGCTAGCCTGGTTTCAAATCTGGGAAGTTGGTCAAGTTACATAACCTTTCTAGCCAAAAATTGAATAGAGATAAGAACACTTACCTCCTTGGGGAGTTGTAAGGTGCAAATGAAACTGCACGCAAAGTCTGTAACCTAGCACAGAGTAAACTGATAAATATTAGCTGTGATGATGCCATCAAGGCTGATTGTGATGAAAGAAGATTTTTTTTTGGTGGGACTGGGGTTTGAACTCAGGGATTCATGCCACCACTGAAGCCACACCTCTAGTTCAAAATGGGAAGGTTCCAAAAGTGAATGCTGGATGAACAGTTGGTTTTAACTATCTTGAGAGAGAATGTGATTCAGAATAGTTGTATATATTAAATGAAGTTCACCCTTACTTTTTTCACGTTCTCTAGATCCTGCAGGACTCAATATTTAATTAGTTAGAGCTAATATGATTAACATTTAATATATCTGCTTTGTATATAGTAAGCGCTTCAGAGTTGGAAGTTACAAAATACGAACCTTGCTTGGCAAAGAGCTTTTATTTACTTAAAACTGCTTTAAAGGATAATTATCAAACATCCAGATGTGTTTTTGCATTAAAAGTGACTCTTGAAGGGAACTTGATGTTTTGCCTTCATCAAAATGTAGTTTTAAGAGGGAGGGGGCGGAGTGGGTGGTAAGGGAGGGGGTGGGGCAGTGGGGAGAAATGAACCAATCCTTGTATGCACATATGAATAATAAAAGAAAAATGAAAAAAAAATGTAGTTTTAATAGTAGAAAAAAAAGCACTGTGGGCTTTGGTGGTATGGAGCTCACTTGTCATTCTAGCACTAGGGAGGCTGACACAGGAGGATCATGAGTTCCAGGCCAGCCTGGGCTGCTTAGTGAGTCTTAGCTAATCAGGAAGCAAAAGGAAAATCACCATTTAAAGCTAGCCTTTGCAAATAGTGAGACCCTATCTTGAAAAAAAAAAAAAAAAAGCTAACAAGCTATCATAGCACTACTTGTAATGTCTCAAAGAATCTAACAAAGAACTAGCAAAATCACCCTAATAATTAAATGACAAGTGCTTTTGGAAAGACAAAGGCCTTAATTATACTAGCATTTCTCTACAGAGAGCATTTGTTAGCATTAAGTTGAACAGTATCCAGACTAATCCTTAGGTGGTTTCCATATTCTACGTGATACAGATTTAATCAAGTCATTGGCAAAGGGATGACTTCAGCAATTTCTGTAGTCACACAGTTTTGTAAAGGGTGTGTGTGTGTGTGACAAGGGACCATCTAACCCAGGGTCTTGAGCATGGAAAGTAAGCCCACTTCCACTGAGCTAAAGCACTTCTGAATCTAGTCTGTGACCTTATTAACTAGGACTGCTTGCTTGCTTGCTTTATAAGGCATTTGCAATTAGATGGGGGATTCATTGGGGTCTGCATCATTTATTTTTCTCCTAAAAGAAAACTTGCCCTTTTTTTTTTAAGTTTAAATTTTAATTTTGAAAAACCCAGAGCGGGGGCAGTGAATTCAACTATAATATATTGTTAGAACTTTGGTGTCACAATGTACCCCCAGTACAACAATAATAATAATACAAATTTTTAAAAATTAAAAAAAACAGTTTTTTATTTTATTCTCTCATTTCTTGGTAAACTAAAAAAGAAAATTTTCTTCATATACCTTAAAATGTCTCCAGTTACCTCAACAGTTACAAAATTATTTAGCAAAATTAAAATTCCCCTGCAAGAGCTGGTGGCTCACGCCTGTAATCCTAGCTACTCAGGAGGCAGAGATCATGAGGACCCTGCCAGCCTGGCAAATAGTTTATGGGACCCTATCTTGAAAAAACCCATCACAAAAAAGGGCTGTGGAGTGGCTCAAAGTGTAGGCCCTGAGTTGAAACCCCAGCAAAAAAAAAAAAAAAATTAAATTCCACATATAGTTCATGTTTGGAATATGTGAAAATTCACTACAAATTGTAAGACACAAAGTAGTCTAAGTTTAGAAAGACTTAATGCCTTCCTTTTAAGTTATAATAATTGTGGTAGTTGCAAGCAGCTAGGAAATTCAGAGTTCAGAATAGTTGGGGAATTTATGTAGTCAAGTAAGAACTGGCTCTTGTCCTTGATAAGATGTGACATTTGTTTCAAGTTTATAAATCTTCCTTCAGCCAGTGTTTAGTTTCTTCAGCAAGGTTGGAGAAAGGGTTTTTATTTTACAATAAAGTATATTTAAATTTATTCCCAATTCATTTTTTAAGGGAAATAAAAGTAACAGATTTATTTTTGGAATTTTACACATTAGTACTAACAAGTTGAGTAAAAATAATATTTATTGAAGACACTGTACACAAAAATTTTATGGTTCCAGAATATTGCTGGATAAGTAGAAAATAAAAGAGAGGTAGCTCCGAATGCAGAAAGGTTACAGGAAGCCTGGAAACTTAAAAATACCTTATTAAAAGACTAAAAAATATATGCCTCAGATCAAACAGACCAGACTCATGGACAAAAACCCTGCAGATCTAACTAACAAAAAAAGGGTTGTCACACAGTGTGTGTATGTGTTTGTGTGTTCGAAAAAAAAGAATGTCATATGTGTCTACCTTTTTTTTCTTTCAAAGTGAAATAAAAGTCAGATGTGGTACTTCACCTCTTTAATCCCAGCACTAGTGAGGCTGAGGCAGGAGGATCATGAGTTTAAGTCCAAGGGCAGCTTTGACTACATAGAAAGACCCTGTCTCCAAAAAAAAAGTGGAAAAAGTTGCTAATATAAGACTTTGGAAAAGCCATAAAGAACATCCAGATAAAAG